GTTCTATCTCCCGTGTGAAATGGTACAACAGAATGGGCAATATTGAGGCTAGGTGTCGAGTGATAGGTATAGGGGGGGGGAAGCGACAGACGAGGGTGTGAAGCAGTTACATCGACTGATATGGTTAGGACATGTGTCACACATGCCTAGTCATCGCTTTCCTCGACCAATGAGCAATGTTAGCTGACATAGGGGCAGACTGGGAAAGAGCTAGCGGAAGTCAAACAAAAACAGGGCACCAGTCAACGAAATCCACAACAGTTAGTTCAAGCCACTTAGGAAAGTGTAGACTTCCTGATTGGTTGGGATCCTCGAGATAATAAGAACCAATGAAGACTGGAGATAATTGGTGAAATAGCTCAAAATCGTTTTCAATGGCTGGCCGGTGCAGATGCATCCACTTCTTGTGACTTATGATTTCCAATGAAACTATATTATTCGCCATTATTACTATTCCTTTGTCTCATATCTCGGTTTACTGTCTTTGTATTATGCATCTATTATGTACTCGTCGCCAAATTATTCTTATGTACTGGTAGAGAATTTAATAGTCCCGACGCAAGAAAGACGGAAATCAGAAGACCACTAGGTTTGCGATGATACTTCTATTTTCCAAACACATGGAGAATCAATATGTCACACAAGAGTGTGAGAGCAAAATATATATGAATGTCCGAACAAGTGTGTGAGCGAATATTCAAAATGAACAAATTAATAGACAGTCTCAACATGATTGGCTAATTATAATGTAATATCGATCCATGTATACATAGCAAAATATATCAGACTCTCAAACAAAACACTCATATTATATGGATACATGCAGTTAAAGGTTAAAATAATAATAATCGAATGATTCATTTTCTTTCTGAGATTTGTCAGTCACCAGTAGGACACTGTGTAGCTGAAGCATGAGGTACTGTTTACAACATTTCGAAACATCTCAAACTTTATCAATATTTTAAATAAATTTACACATTTATGACGCGTTCATTTCAGAAAACGTATTTATCCAGTTGGCGTAACGGAGTCGAGGAATTCATCGTCACGTATATTCATCATGATTATACCGACCATCAAATACTAAAGATGAGAGAACACAGAACTGAGGAATATCACACTCCGTGTTTAGATTTATACTAAATAAATCAACTTGAAATAAAGCCGTGATACAGTTATAAGAACTGCATGTTGTGTTGGGCACAATTTATCACTCACAATCCTATAAATCTAATCCTACTACCCAATCTACTTCGTGTGTTTTTGAACATATTCATGATTGATGCAGAACTACACCGATTTCACAAGATTTGTTTTATTTTTTTATTATTTTTGATTACAGCTTGATTCCACACTGTATTTTTGGTACAAGTATGGAATTTTCAGCGTGGATATCGGTAGCCCAAATTTTGCAGGCCGACCATAGATATCAGGTGTGCGTCGGCGTGGGCTCGAACCCCGGACCATGTGCATGGTCGGCGAGAGTCCTAACCACTGTGCCACCGACGCACGTTCACTTAATGTCAAGCAATAAAGTCGCCTTGTGATCGGCAGAAGCCTGAATGACACGACCTCGCACGTGATCGCCTGTATGTTCAGTTCACCCATTGCTTTGGAGCCAGATAAATCGGTCGTTCGACGCACATTCTGTCAAAAAAGGCCAAATAACACTATTCTCCGTAGCTTCAGAAAGGAATCAGTGGCCGTATAAGCAGTGAAATAATCAAACATCTCGCCACCAATGGTCATTCCATCTCAACAAATGCGTACTTCAAAGTAATCTCCAAAGTGAAGAACAACCTGCCAAAGACAATACGTATCCATGTTCTTAGCATCACAGAAGCCCTAGCTTTTCAGTTAGGAGAACCAGAAATATGCGTACAAAAGAAAATTATTCAACTTTCGCTTACTTGCTTTTATTTCCAACTACCTAAAACTCATGTTTTCTTTTAAAACTCTTACACAATACTGTATTTTTTTGTATCCATGCACACCCTGAGCAAAGCTGTCTCATCGAAATATTCATGTTATTACGAAACTGACCTTTCACAGTCGAATGTGACAACTCATCACTTTGTTGTTACGTTTATATATCAACATCTGATTCCTCTGAATGCCATTTGTATTGCATAATTCCATCGAAAACTTACTGTTTTCGTTTGATTGATTTAATGTACTCACACATACAACATAACCATACATTTATATATATTGTGTGAATCTTCCCTGAACTACTGGTTTTCTCTTCATTACTGTTAGAAGGGGGATAATTGCATGAAATAAAAAATCTGTTTTTATTGAAATGGCTATCATTAGCTGAAACTAGCGAAGTAGCTTAAACCCTTCACAAAACATATTAATATTACGTATAAGTGTCATCAGCGTTGTGAAATACGACCCTGTAAAAAAAGGACAGTTTTACACGTGACTTCACTCGTTCCATTTAGAAATTGTCAATTATAAATGGTATAAAGCAATATATATATATAAAATCTTTCAATTATACTGAATCCAATTTCGCACGACAGTTTCGCATTGATTCGGGTTTAAAGATGGACGTTGATGTAAAGAATTTATTCCTCGTTTGTATTTTAGCTGATTGTTCTACTTTGTGGAAGTCGAAGCATGTGTTGATTACTGACAAAATTGGTTCGGTAAACATCCGTTACTTGACCTTTTTAAAAGGTAGTGAGTTTATAATAGCATTCATATGATTCAGGGATTAAATCATGAGTCATATGTGTCATAATGGCTAAAAGTCTTGTTGTACCCTTTAAAGTGATTGAAGATGTGTATGAGGAATATGAGATTATTGAAATTAAGAAAGGTGGGAGTTCAAAACAGTATAAAAAAATTAATAGTAGTACAGTGGAGAAAAACAAAATATGACTCACTGCCTTAAGCAGTCAACTTCCACTCAATGGACCCCAGGGTGGATATCTTTTTCCAGTTAATACACTCTAGCAACTTAGTAGTATTATCAAACTTCACAAATTGAATTCGATTCACCCTCTGTCGCACGAGAAATATATGGTGAGTAACTGAGTTCTAACTGAGTAAGAACTGACTTGAGAAAGCTACACGGAAATGCAGCACCTCGAGTTACCATAATTCATATAGCCACTAATAGTCGAAACATGAGGGACAAAAGATTTCAAAACAATTTGCAAGAGAATCAATAATAAGGTATCATTTTACCTGAGATATTGCAAGAAGTGAACGAATCTCTGTCGCTGTGGAACACGTAAAGCCATAACACCAACAGCCTGTTTTCATTCCCTATCCTCATCTCAGATAATACGATCAGGTAGTCGCTGCTTCTCAATATGAACCATACTAATTGTCAAGTGCTTTATGGAATGATTACCGGTTTTGAATTTACTACACTCAATCCACTACAAAAAAGAATTCATGAGGAAGGTGGTAACTGCATATGTACAATACGTGTCCTCACTATCGTAGTTGCTCCATTTCCAGAATGCCAATGTTTAGTCTCTTCCTTCACGCCTAACCTCATTCTTGGAAACGTGAATAAATTTGTGTTTGATAAACTGGGATCTGTTTACGAGAATGTTTACCTGCTATTACAATATACAAATAAGTATAAATACAGTATATAATTATTACAAATAATCTTAATCTAAATAATCTTTGTCTTCCATACAGCTTATTTTTCCGACTATTTACTCCATGTAAACAAAAAGTGTATTCAATATTGTTTTTTTAAATAAATTGGTGCTGTCTATGCTATGCAAGGAAAACATTAACCGTACTGAATCGATCGACTCTTAATTAACTCTTCCTTTACAGTGTGTATAAACATCGATTCCAAATATTTGGTTGAAATTATGTATTGATGAAATATTTGAAAGAAGTTCTGAAACATGTGAACCATATTTATTTGACAATTACAATGCACTTCAATTACAAAATATAATGCATGCATACGAGGAAGACATTTAATTTTATATTTCAATAGCATTAACACCGCATTATTTTTTGTTAATTATTGTCTCCGCTAGAGAGTGCGCGATGAGCTCGTTGTGAGTTCACCGGGAGGATGAGTCTAAAATGAAAACGTTTACTTAACTTTTTTACTTGCATTAGTTGTGCATATGTGATCTTTTCCACCAAGCTTATTCGGTAGCCTATCTAATAGGCAGCTCCATGTTTCTACCATTCAGGTACAGAAAGCCGACCTGGAAAATAGGTTTCGTAAAGCAATACAATAAATTCGAATTCCAGCATCAGTTATTTGTAAAACTATGTATTACGTATTGTGTATTGACGTTCGTGCTTCTGAATGCTATCCTATTGATACTTGTAATTTTACACTAATATATCTGAAGGAAATTAATGCATCCGCTTGAAGGTATGCGCCGTAATGCAAAAACTGAGGGAACGCAGCTAGTTACTAGTAGTGACGACATCGAAAACGTGCATAATATCAGCCAGAATTACTCACAGACAATTAAAAAAGTTCCTCAAATTTTTAAGTGTTTAAACATTGAGTTAGTTTATTCTCACAGATAACTTCCTTCCTAGTTATACGACTTAAGCGTATTAATATGCCTTACCTTACACATAACACAATTTCGAACATCATAGCCACTCATATGAATACTACTCACACGGATTATTACTTCACCACACGTTTGCTCATTGAAACAATACTCCACTTGGATGTTACAATCTCACACTCAGTATTTATATGAGATGAGCAGCGAAATTAGGCACCTTTGAAATGTTTTTCTAGTTAAAGTTACGCATCCACGTCCCCTGAAACCCTTAGGACTCAGATCATATTCCTTATATACTTGTCGGAAAATAACGACTCTCAGTTAATGGTATCACGCTGTTGAAATTGCCTGTCATTATATCAGATAGTTAGTCGATAAAGAATGAATTAGCCCCCCTTCCGTCTATTCGGATACTTGAATCCGGTTAATAATCACTTCACGAAATGGAATGTGGGAAGACTGCAGAGGTGAGGTATGGTATTATAATTTCAAAAGACCCTTAAATGATTGCGAATCAATGTCAGTCTTTATTTCTGTAAAATTATCTTGTGAACTGCGCATAAGACTAACCGTCGTAGGGGCCTATATTTTCAAAGAAACACAAAATTTCGGTGTGATCAAGTTAATCAATGAGAGCTTCCGTTAATTAATCCAATGAATAGAAGTTTCAAAAATGTTTTTGATTTCAATAAAGATACTTTTCCCATGACGTCCGTTCATTCGAAGGAACTAATCAAAAACTTAGACCGAAGTGAAGTGGAACGTATTAGAGCTCAAATAAACTCACCAAATATCCAGAAAAAATTTTCTAGGAGTCGGAAAAATTTTCGCTTAGTTGTTTCAAATTTATATACAAAAAGTGGTTGATAATGTTGTCAAGCTTTCATGGAAACGACTGTGCTATTAAACCTGTCTAGTATGAGGTGATGGAAGTAGATGTTAACTCAATGTCTAATCTGTGGAGTTTGTTCGACAATTTTAAGTGCAGACACCTACATCGTCTGTTATCTGGAGACAAACTCTCACATATTATGCAGTAATAAAAATTGCGATTGTTCAGCTAAGAAAATGAATTCACCAAAAAGAGACTCTTCACTGATCTACGTGTTTTGTTTTCATTAATACCTGGATGAAGATCATCCATGAAAATGAATCTGTCCATCGTAGAATTTTTCACGACAGTGGCATGACAGGGACTATTATTGTTTTGTTATTTTAAGGGTCCTGAGTTTAAAATCTCCGAAATAAATTAGGTGTTTTTAGTAATTCAGTGAAAAACGTAAGATGCATTATTAGCATCTGATTACCATATATACATCTATCATTTCTACGGAAAGCAGGATTAAATCTCCGTCTACCTTTTGGATTCTGCCGATGTAGATTTGAATAAAACAGAGAGAATATAGCCGTCAAAATGTTTTTATTTAAGCTGCTTGTATGAACCTTAACCAACTATACGTCTTTTTTATTCCAAAGACTTTGATGAAGTTCTCTCCGGAAAATCAGCATAAATTTATTTCCACTCATTGGAATAAACAACAAAAACGTAGGATCTCTCTAAGTCATTCACGGGAATACGTTTTTACAATTTAGAATAAACACGAGACTTATCTACTTTTCGTATTAATGATACAGGTTCTGAAAGAACTGATGAATTCTTACCGAGAGAATATTTTAAAAGTAACTCTTATTGTACTTACTTCAAATCGAAGACAACTGTAAACAGAATAATGGAAGAACGGAATGAAGTTTTGGATGAGAATCACAGCGTGAAATGAAACATTGGTTCAAATATTATTCAATGTATTCTATATTGCTTCCAAGAATAAATGAGGTGTTATGCAGTAATCGATGACATGAGATCGCATATTTTCTGAAAAATGTCAAATGATCAATGCAAGTGTTATATGTAGACACTGTGCTGGAATGAAATCCCTTATTAAATATGATTATTTTAAATAACATGTGTTGATACAGTACTGATGGATGGATGGATGACACTTTATTGCGCGAAATCGCATGAACGTATTCACAGAACTTCACAACTTGCTAAACATAGCTTCACTTCCTCCTGTGTCGAAATACAGGATCGGTGTCCTGTCACTTTTCTTTCCTATTTTTGTGTTAATTCGTTAGGGGAATGCAGTGATCAGCGTCTCGGTCCTCTTCTGTCATGTCACATTCTCTTGTGTTATTTTAGGGGTAGGGTAAGGTAATATTCATATTAATATTGTACTGCTGCATGCTTTGTGTAAAAAACTGATTTGATGTGAAATGCTGACTTCAGTTTCTGACGTCTGAATAAATGTCGACGAGCACACACCTCACAAAAGTCAAAAAAGTGAGATTTTGAATGAGAATTCCGCTAAGACTATCTGCATTCATGTATAGTGTTGAAAAACAAGCAAATATTAATGTTGTCATTGACTGAATGAGAGAAGTGTATGAGATATTTGAAAGGTATTGTCTCTCCAGGTAGAAATCTCGACGTGTCGGTTCTATTTCCACCGAATCAGTCATGGATTGTCTTGTCTAAATTGCAGATATTTGAAACATAACTTTTTATGCCATGGAATTTCAATTACAAAATCATTGTAGGTTTTCATGTCAGCGTCTGCTGTGTTGGTTGTTTAACTGCAATTCGATAAACCCTATTAAGATTATGAACGATATGTAATAGGACTGCTCGCTCCACACGCCTGCTGGTATATCCTCCAAATAAAAATACTTTTGATGAACTGCAGCCATCCTACACCATGTTTCCTAATTCTCCGTTCGACGTTAAAAATTGTTCTTCGTTGTGCTATAAAATCGATATTTTCACTAAGTGCATGGAATCACACATAGAATGATGATAACACCGCCAGTAAGGAATTCAAATCATCAGCAGTAATTTCATAGAAGGAAACAACTTTGTGAAGTTTACGCTGAGTTCTTAACAAGGCAGGAATAAAAGTGTATGGTATTCAAACCCACTAACTCAATTAGAAACAAGCTGTGTCATTTAAAGGATCCTGTGGAGCTTTAATACGAAACAATATAGTTTATCTAGCACACTGCAATGATTGTCAGGTGAAATACATGGGTCAAACTAATAGAATAGGGGAAGTCAGACTAGACGAACATGGAAACCTAGCGAAATCTAGACTAGTTGGTCCGAATAAGATAAAAAATCTATAGAATAGTCCAGCTATAGCACCTTACACATGCAATCACACACTATCATACAACAGGATGGGATGACAGTTTTAAAGTCTTATGTAATACAGTGAAGGTAGCGATTGATAACGAAAGCTTTCTTTATCGAATCAACTGGAAATACGTAAGGATTGTTCAACAACCGTCACATATATCTGGAAAGTTCTATTACACCTACGACGAAAATGGTAGAGGACAAAGAAAACTATAAAACTCAAATTTCGAAGTCGTGTGATTATAATCGATATGATTATGAAAAATACTGATTTGTGTTTCAAACGTCATCCAATAGATAATACTGTTTCCCTGACTATGCGATACATCTAGTAAACTAAATAATATGGAATTTAATCCGATAATAATCATCAATGTATTCACTTTCCTAGTGCAGCGTTCTGTCTAACTGGAACAGGAGTCAAAGTGCGAACTTCATTCATGCCTCCAACTGCGAAAAAACGAAACGATCAACTCAGATATATCAAAACTCAGTTTGTTTTAGGTTTTAACGCTAGGCACTCATTATCTGTGGTATTAGGAAATCGAGAATCGGCAATTCTCTTGGGTGCGAAACATTCACACCATCTGATTGCATAATTAGTGAGTAGTACTTAAACGCATAAATCCTAACAAGTAGGTGTTTTGCCACCTGCTGTCAGTCTGTTTGATAAATTACGCTTGCATAAGTTTTCAAAAAGATTCACTTACCTGAATCCTGACCTGAAAAATAATGGAGAGATTGCAGGAGGGTATGAATGAATTGACGCCTCGATCGATATCTCTCAGCATGTAAGGAATGCAAATGTGAATGTTTGCACTTGCAGACAACTAAGAATGCTGTCTTCGTCAGCCAATCATCTTTCAGAGTTTTTAGTAATTCTCTGTTTTGGAGAAAAGTTACTGGGAAGGCCTAACTTTGTTTCATTTACTGCCAAACAGGCATTTACCCCACTTATTTTTTTCATGAGCTTCTATCCATTTCAGTATAAATTCTCATATATGGTAGTTAGTGGAATTTGTGTTATATATATATATATATATATATACGAACAATACCTGAATGAATTGTTATAAACTTGTTAGACGTTTTCAGAAGAATGTGTCAAGTCAAATAAAGGGCTTCATTTATGTTCAGAATAACGACTTCGTCGTACAATTGATACTTGAGCAAACCTGTTCCGAGGAATAGTAAACTCACTGAAGGGAGAGTAACTTTATTCTTCGCTGACAAACAAAATCAAATGTTACTGTAGAATAGCATGGATCCGGTTTATTCTACACAAATGTCTATTCTTCCACTTTCCAAATTTATAAAGAAACATTTATGCAGGAAATCAAATGTCATTGGTTGATGTCCACATAATCTACTCAAATGATATTAGATATTATCAGCATGAATAACCATCAGCTACGGAAAATTACTCTACGTGAAGTTACTTTACTTGATAATCCCTGTGATATTTCACCGTTTCTACGGTAGGTTATCTCCGTCCACACTTACATGATACACCATAAGCTTGATTTAATGCGACTACACAATAAACTAGTGATGCACAGCATAGAGTGATGAGAGTCATAATAGTATTCACAGAGTATGACCATATCACACTGTTACTACGCTTGTCAGAACGTACCACTGACTTCGTTCAATAAAAGTGTTAATAGTATAGCAACAAATCCAAGTAATGAATTCCTGAATCTCATCACTTCGAGATGCTTGTTTGGTTTTCTTTGAGTGTGAATGAAAACCAAAAAATACTGACTACATACTCATTGTACTGTGTGGTGTAATGTGGTGTAAGTTTGCATTGCATGTCTATCTCACGATCGTTGTTTTTTTGACGAATAAATTACTTTCCAGCCTTAACTGGTGGTCAGTCTTCTATCTGAGCTCATCATTTCAACGATGTCAATTCAATTAAAACGATCTGTTTAATAAAACGTTTTAAGTGTATCTCATCATTTAAATTTTAGTGGGTTTGACAAAATGTTTTGAGATTTCTCTGCAGACTAATAATTATGAACACGATTTATTTGTCAAAAAAATATGCGTCAGTCAGTCAGTCATTTTGGCGTCACATCCGCTAAGACAAAGTGTGTTTTCATGTCTATAGTTTACTGAGTGGCGACGAAATAATACTGACACTAGGTGGTTGGACACAAATCTACATTTTGGCATAGAAGGAGACGTCACATTTCACACATCTTTAAGTAGACTAAAGTGATCTTTATATCATATCACCTCTGAGTGCGTTGAAATCAGTAAGGATGGGAAAAACACAGCAAGTTAGGCCTTCTTTACACCAAAATCAATCTAGGTATCTACAAACCTAGTTTCTACATCAGCTTTGCATGTGATTCGCCGAAATCCAGTGCTGCAGACTTTCATCTACATTATCTGCTACCCTAGTTAAACTAGACAACAGAAGATTACCAGCTTCCTTGAATAATCTGAAATCATTCCATCAGGTCCCACTACGTTGCTTCGTTTTACAATAAAGACGGCTTTTATAGCCTCATTTTAAGACTGAATACTGATGACCACATCTCTTTCATATAGCTGTAGGATTCTAGGCTTACTGAGATTCCCGCAGGCCAACTAGCTTGTTACTCTAAGTGTTACCTTCAACGTTTTGTTGTGTATCTCACAGGACAAATTCAGTGCCATTTTTCTCGAGGATTGTTACGCTTGTCGTTTTTCTCTTTCAAGCCATTTGCTCTATATCCCTAGATATTTGTCTGATTATACCTACCAATAGTGACCTCTGAATGTCTTTGGATTTCCTGACCTACCACTGTTAACGACTGCACCATTATATGATCCAGTATGAATCCTGCTTCTATGATAAATTCTTAGTTCACCTAGAGCGAGGGTAATATCATCCAGACAATTAAAAATGAATCTTTTGTTTAGAAATGCTCTACGATTTCACTGGTGACTTCCGGATCCTAGGAGTTGTGCTTTTTCTGCTACTAAATGATAGTAACTCACACTGTTCAATAAATAAACACCCCACTACTCATCCTCAACCTCTGGTGCTCTGTGTTTCACTTGGTTTGCAAGAAATAAATAAGTAATCTGAAAGTAAAAGCGTCAATTGATACAGTGACGCAAAATCAGATTTAAATGTTCATCTCTCCTGCCGAGTGCGAATAGAACAAAGATGATTAGTTTTATGTCAGAGATGTCAAAGAGCAGTGTAGAGATTGTTTGTAGTCTTGATGGTGTGAATATATTTGTGAGAACTACTTCTGAACTTCAATACTGAATAAAAATATCAACCACTTGAATACAGTGCTGAAGAGGTTAACCTACGGTTTGCAAACTACATTTGTAAATATTATTCTTGCAGAATACTCCGCCTCTTCGAAAGGGCTTATTTTTAAAATATGTTTACTCCATGTCAACAGAAACCTCAATTCTAAATTGTTTGTTATTGAAGTCAAGCTGTTTTACCTGTCTAAAGAAAGTAGTATTCGCACAAAATTGCTTATGTTCTAGTTAACACTGGCTTCTCATTCGCATAAACCTCGATTCTAGATATTTTGTTGAAATTATTTATTGATGGAATAATAAAGGCTGTTTCAAGTTTATTTACTATGCACAGTCAACAAATACAATGCATTGTAATGACAAAAACACACGTCGTATTCATGATTAGAAGACATTTTACTTCATATTTAAAGAGAATCATCTCGAGTGCAATGGTTAACATTTATCCTCCCATTCAAAGTTGACGGTTAGCCCACTGTCTGCATAGTCAAACCTAAAATGCAATTGATTACTTAATTTTCTCAGTTATTAAGTTGTACATCTATTGTCTTTCCTGCAAGCTTCAATGGGAACGCATATAAATAACAGCCCCATGTTTCAGTTAGTCGGGCACAGAGGCTATCCTCGAAAAACGTTTCGTAAAGCCATACAATCGCTTCAAACTCTTTCATCAATTATTTTTGGGTATTAAATTACATTAATACAATGCAATATTCGTTAACTATCATATTTACGAGTAAGGCGTGTGGTTTAACTCTGGTAAATCCGAAACAAACTGATCTGGTCTCAATTTGAAGTAAGCGTTTTGATCAAAGTCGTGCATATGAATATGCCAGCCATATATTATTACGTTGTCAAACTTGTCAATTATCTAAATTTTTCTCTACTTTTGATGGTACAAACTCGCATTTTGTATTCTTACCGGATGAGCAGTTGAGTTTTGGTATACTAGAATGTTTTATCAGCAAGAGTTGTACATGCATCTTCTGTGAAACACTTGGTGCTCTGATTATCCTCACTATGTTCTCGTCGAATTGTAGTTATGCTTTAGACTTCATTCGGATTTTATTCTGTGTAATGACGATAAGTAGAAAACACGTCAGCCTTAACTTATTCTGGATTTGTAATTGAGAAATAACCATCTCAGCTTATTCGAATTATTGGTGATGAAGTCAGACAGTGAATAGATTGCGCTTCTGTTTATGAGTAGAAGACTTTATATGTATATGATACCGACAATTGAGTATTCGTTCTTTCAATTGAATTCTATGGTCAGCACATTCACTGCCTCGATAAATCTAAAAAATAAATGCTCTTTCACTATTTTCAGTCGTGCAACTGAAACATGTGCTCAATTTTTTCGAAGCTGGGGTGGCAACGCAGCTATAAAAGCACCCCACGTTTAAGCTTGTCGGATAAAGAATGCTCTCCTACAAAATTGTTTCCGAAAGTAACACAACCAGATCATGTACTAACATCACTTATTTGTCAGTAATAAATAAATAAAATGCATCACGGAGTACTCATTTTCATTCGTGTTCCCGTAATTGTCCCACTGACTCCTAGAATTTTATGCTTATTAACTGAAAATTTTCACTTTAGGGGATGCGCCTCTGTTTCAAACTTGAAGCTACTGGGTTAATGACGAATACCAACGAAATCAGAATTGCTCATTACATCAGTCGAATATATTCTTAGGCATTCAGAAATATTACTCGAATGTTTGAGTATTTAAATTTTAAATTATTCTTCAATCACAGGTAGGTTTTGCTTGAGTTTTCAATCAGACTTTTGAGTAACTCCAGGAATGACAGATTTTCAGACTTGAAAGGTACTCGTCTGGAGAATATCAATTCCACATATAATAACGTAGTTATACTCGTCAATAATGAGGACGTTTAGTCACTCAGATGTTAAAAACTCACAGGTGGCATTCATTTCAGATGAGCAGTTAAACTAACAAATCTAAAAACATTTTTGGCATCCATCGTCCATGAAACACTTATCGGTCTGCTAATCCTTCATCCTACTCTTATCGAAATATTGTGTTCCTTCAGGCTGCATGCTTTCAGTATGCATAAAAAACATGAGGCAAAAGGGTCAAATTCTTGTTTCTTTACATACAAGACATAATAGCCAACATCACATGATTGTCATTGTTTAAAGATATTTAGTAGATTGAGGCTGAATTATCTCCCTCCACCTGTTTGGATCCTTCAGTCGGTGAATCAGTCACTTATCGAAGCAGAAATTTGAAAGATTTCAGAATTGACATAGTCTACTATACGTTCCAGCAAATTTCTCCAAAATTATTTAACATATTTCCCAAATGTTATTTATGATGGACAGAAATGCGCTGAACGTTTGCTTTAGTGAAATCAGTTAGCTCAAAAGTCTATTCATAATTTCACTAAGTAGGAATTTCATAATGTTCGATTTCATTTGAAATAGCTTTCACATGGTATTAAGACGCCCATTAGAACTAGGCAAATTATTTCACCAAAATGCACTGAAATGTATAAATACTCGAATAAACTCACCATTTATCAATGAAAACATTCTAGAAGTTCCATCTATTTAGAAATTCTAAGCCTGTGCACAGAAGATAGTGGAAGGTATGTTGCGCTTTTATAAAATGGGCTTTTTCTACGGACTTTGACATGTGTTACAGCGTGTGGAGCTGCTCACTTATAAGTGAGATGGTTGAAACTATGAATGACACACTTATTGCAAACACTGAGACAAGTGACTGGTTGCTACTTTGAGTTCTGGTTGACTTAAGATTCATGTTACGTTTGGAAGAAGCCAATTCAATGTAAAAACAACTAAAATTCCATATCAGTTTATTTGGAAAACAAACTGAACAACTGCTCTATGAACTTTGTTTGCCATATTATATAACTAACCACGAGAGATAAGATGCGAACATCTTCGTCAACCACTCCATCGGCGGTGATGAAACTTTCCAAGTAAATTAAGTGACAATCAGGCCCACCTACTTCACTTCCTTTCTCTAAGTGAGACATCGGCGAAGTATGTTCTTGCATAATCGTCCTAATTTTGACAGGAGTAAAATATCGTATTACAAACAAACAAAGATTTTTGCTCAACTTTTTTCAGGAGACTGGATTTTGTCTCCGTCTTTAAATAAGAGTAGGAAATCATTCGCATACTCCAAGCCAGTCAGATTGTTATCCGGTAACAAGTCAATTTCCTAAATCACTAGTGTCATCTAGTTGTAACTTCCATTAGTAAACCTTTGATGATACTAAACTAATGTGGCAACAGTGATCTTCCCTGATGGACGCCACTGGTTGTCAAATTTTACACAGCTGCAGAAGTTGCATTAGATTCCTCGATAGGTGCGAATTACATTCTTGACACTCCATTCACGGTACAAAGTTGCTGCAGAAACTCTCGGTTGGCTGAGCCAAACACCATCTTCAAGGAAGAGAGATACAGAAATCATGGAACTATGGTAAGTATACCCATATCCAAAAAATCTATTCAACTTTGGAGGTATGATCAACACAGCCTCAT